GGGTTTCGGGGCTCTCCGGCCGCTTTATTCTTGCCACTTTCTTTACACGAGGCTCTCTCTTTATACAACTCACAACAAAAAGGGACGCTATACAAAAGTCACACTACTGAGTCGGCGCAGTCTGGCAACGGGTCTCCCTGGCCCAGCAGCAGGGGTCCCAACGCTACGGTTGCACCGTGGGTCCGTGCTGGCGCCCTCTGCCGGCGGCCCGGCACCGCCGTTACAATATATTTGCCATAGATGTAAATGACATATATCAGTGAAAGTTGAGATTATTCTTAAAAAGACTTCATAGAATATCTCGATTTGTCTTACTTGCTAACATGTTCCAAATTCAAGATCATTCGGTAGTAAGGCCGAGCTTCCATCACCGGCCGGTTTAAGTACAGGCCAGCCGGTAGCTTGGCCGGTGAGTTTAATCCTCTTCAAAATGGCCGCGCAATCGGCCAGTGTCCGGCTAAGGCACCCACTCAATACATGTATAGGTAATCTATTGTGTTCATACCTGATAATTGCAGGTCCATCATCTGGGACCCAACAATGAGGAGTATTTAATCAACTTAATCCTCCACGGTCAGCAAAAGGCCTTAGGTACGTTACTGCTATAGAAATTAACTGGCCACTTTCCTCGGGAGTCAGTTACAGGCGAATGGTTGTGATAAATAATTAGGGATTAATTTCTGCTTCTTCTTTTGCTAAATTTCACTTTCATAGAAACCAAACTGCTAGGTAATACGCTCAAATGAAATGTAATGAATAAATATGTGCCAGCCATCCATCTATGGAAAGATAGAGTCTGGAAAGTTGTTTACGCCATGTTTAAACAATAGACACTAATCCGCTTAGAACTCTTTGTTTAACTTTGGAGGCAGACATCAGGCTGCATACCAGTAGGTTGTTTGTTGAGTGACTGAGGGGCAAAAATACCGGCTGAGGATCATACCGGCCTCAAAGGGCCGGTACAGGGCAGCGCAGTGGAAGAGGTCAGATCATAGAGGTAGAATTAGATGTACCCATCCAGGAAATGCTACCTCCTAGAGAGCACAATATTTGGCTAATATATGACGTTTTTCTATTTTTTTTTACCAATGAGGCGGCCGGCCATATGGGCCGCCATATTGGCACTTTTGACAAGGAGTACCTTGTGTGACAAAAGCAAAATAGCGCCCTCTTACATGTGTTGATGAAAGGATTTACTAATAATTGAAAAGCTACCACTCTCTTGTCACTTCCAATGAAAACAAGTATTTAGATCTTGAATGTATTGTTGCAGCACATAGTAATGAACATGAAAACAAGATGAGCTGAATTTCCACTGCACGTTTCCTTTAATGATGTAATTCAGTGGGTTGTGATGGCAATGTGTGGTGTGTATATCGACTTGAGTCCAACTGGAGTCAAGTCTAAGCTGAATTAGGAGCGTCCCGCAATGCTCAAAGTATGATGTGACCATTAAGCATTGCAAGATGTTGAAAGATGCCTTCGCGATGAGACTTTGTTCCAGCGGGTCTCTGCAGTTACTAACATTGCAAATTGTCAGTTCTAAAAATATTAAACATGCGCTGGGCATTTTGGCATGTTTGTATTTTGATCAAAAACCGGTTTGAGCCAATTATCCTGTGCACTTGTCTCAGGCATCAATGTCGCCAAAGCAAAGTCACGTGATTCTACTGTTCCTCTAGGACTACCAGCCTAAAGTTTTAACCAATAAACTAATGCGAATCGGGATATAACATGTTCGGGAAACCTTAAAATTCAATTTACTTTCTAATCCTTGAGTTTAATGAATTGATGAAAAAACAGCACTTCAAAATGCTGTTCAAAAATGAACTCATTCAGCAAATGAAACTTCACAATGCAAACGTTGGGGGGGGGGGGGGAGGTTGAAGGATGGTGTGTTTGGTTTTTGTCACTTCGTTGATCAGGAACTCTCTGAGAAGCACGCGTCTCATATAAATGTATAAAATGAATGATCCATTCCACACTCAGGTCGCAACGGGACACCGTTTCTTTTTAAACACCATGCTATGTTTGGGAATCTGGTTGCCTTACCGTTCAGGGTAACTCACAATGAAATAAAGAAATAAATAATAAAGTATTTATAAAGCGCTGTTACAAGATAGATCAAAGCGCTGTACAAGAGAGGACTATGATGTTATGAAAAAGAAACTTTTCAGACGTTTCTTGAAAATGGTGAGAGATAAGGCGTCCCTGATGTTGATGGGAATAGTGTTCCCGAGATAATTTGGGGCCTGCTATTGAAAAAGATTTGTCCCCCAATTTTGAACCTGTATGAATAGAGAGAAGTCTATCGTCGGAAGATCTTAATCCCGGTCTGCCTGGTTGATACAAAGTGAGTAAGTCACACAAGCAAGGAGGAGCAATACCATGTAGGCACTTGTAAACCATCAAAAGAACTTTGAATGATATACGCTGCTGGATGGGTAACCAATGAAGATTGGTGATAAGAGAAGTAGCCTGTACAGTGCATTTGACAGAGAAGATGAGCCGAGCAGCACGGTTTTGGATTTTTTGTAGTCTATGTTTTTCACCTTGAGTTATACCAAATAGGAGAGAATTGCAGTAATCAAGCCGGGATGTTATAAATGTACGAACATCATGGTGACATGGCGAATGCGCCAGGGGTTACGTAGTGAAAATTAACTGACCTACAGATGGAAGAGACATGGTTGGACACAGAAAATGGACAATAATACCGTGTCTATTTAAAGCTGAATGTACATTATCACTCTTGGATTTCAGCATTTGCCTACCTAAAGAAGATGTAATTAAGTGACATCCACAATTCAAGATCATTAACAGTTCAAGTGTCTTTTTTAAATAGTTGTAGGCCAGTTTCCTTATTTCAATTAAAATAGTTATTTGTTTTACGGTTAAGTTGCATCGAGGCGTTAAATTAACTCATAATGCTTAGGCACTCTCAAATAATTGGACTACCAGCCTAAAAGTTTCAACCAATTTACTAAAGCGGCTCGGGATATAACATGTTCGGGAAACCTTGAAATTCAATTTACTTTCTAACCCTCAAGTTTAATGAATTGATGAAAAAAAAAATCCTCAAAATGCTCTTCAAATAATGAACTCCTACAGCAAATGAAACTTCAAAATGCAAACTTTTATTATTATGTCAGGGCGGTGAAAATCAATATAAATTGCAATTCGCTGAGGATACTCCGACCGAGTAAAGTTTCCAACCAACCAACCAACAACCAACCAACCAACCAACCAACCAACCAACCAACCAACCAACCAACCAACCGACCAACCAACCAACCAACCAACCAACCAACCAACCAACCAACCTAATATCCCTTTTCTAAAACTCTTCCATTTGCGACAAATCAACCCACCTTGGAAATTCCTAGTTTTTGAGTAAAATCCATATATCTATTTCGTGAAAAAACTTGTGGGGTACCAAAACGGTACCCCGCAAGTCGGTTGGCATTCCTTGTGGAGTACCTCCCATTGTTCCGGTACCCCACAAGGCAGTGTTTGTACACGCACACACACACACACACACACATATATATATATATATATACTTGTTTCACATGACTAGTGTGGACTTTCCATTGCTTTCGTGTAGTTAAGAAAAACCAGTGAAAAAACTCATTTTTCTCAAACTGTGAAAACTCTTTCAACCCAATTTTTTTTCTATGATTCCCTTTAGTGTTTCTCTTCATTCTGCTACGGATAAACCTAACCCAAAAATGCCTCTAAACCTGTTTTCCAGAAATGGGGAAACACTGTGTGGACGTGGGGTAAGTCCACACAACGTCGGTGCTACCTACATTATGTGGACGTCTTTTGTTCGGAAGTCCACACTGCGTATGTAAGACAAACTCACCCCTACACAGGCATAGAAATGGGGTACTTCATTTTGTTCTCGTGTAATAACATTTTGCAACGTCGCATACTAACGTCAAAATGCTTTTATTTTAACCAGAATTAATTTTCTGGGCTGAAATTCGGACTAAATATCCCTGTTCTAAAACTCTTCCATTTGCGACGGATCAACCCACCTTGGAAATTCCTAGTTTTTGAGCAAAATCCAAAGTCGGTGGGCATTCCTTGTGGGGTACATCCCATTGTTCCGGTACCCCCATAAGGTAGTGGTTGTACAAACCCATGTTTGTTTTACATACCTAGTGTGGACATTCCTTTGTTTTCGTGTAGTTCAGAAAAACCAGTGAAAACAACTCATTTTACTCAAACCGGAAAACTCTTTCAACCCATTTTTTTTTGTCTATGATCCCCTTTAGTGTTTCTCTTTATTTTGCCACAGATAAAGCTAACCCCAATATGCCTCTAAACCTGTTTTCCAGAGGGGGAAACCTTGTGTGGACGTGGGCAAGTCCACAAAATGTCGTTGCTACCTGATTTATGTGGACATCTTTTGTTCGGAAGTCCACTCAAGTGAATGTATTGCTTGTACACCCACACACACACACATCCACCAGCCAACATAAGCGGCTCGAGCCCCGGCATGTTTCACACCGCCGTGGGAAAAAGGTGTAGCCCTATTCTTTTATCAAATGAATAGTAATCTATTGTACTTATTGTAGCTACCATGGTGTTCTAAAAGGGACATGCAAACGTCGAGTGCGTGAGTTTCACACGACGTTTGAAACTCAAGCTTACGACGTTTACCTGTCCCTTTTAGAACACCATAATAAAGTTGTACGGTCAAATTGCCCTCAGACTCAATTAACACAAGTATAGTTTAAAATATTTCAATTTATTGTGAAACACCAGCACGTTCTTAAGTGTTGATTGATGCTGGTGTGGAAACTATAGGACGTTTGAATTGGGCGCCAAGAAGCGCGTGCTGGGGCTACATGAGACGGTGAGAGGTCTTCTGTTTGTCTCCCTTTGTTAAAAAACGGGGGTTTGGGCGCGTGGACAAGCCCAAACGTAGCCTATAAAAAGTCCACAAAATGACTCAAATTCGTCATTCCGACAGACTCAACAGCTGCAGAATGATGCTGAAGATGGTCGTGCTTGCCGTGCTGGCCTACACGGCTTACTCCAAGCCAGGGGTACGTAGACTCTTCATTCAGTGCATCTTTGCAAGATAATGTTTCGAACATTGACGATTATTTTGTCGATATTGACGATTTTTTTTTATCCATGGTACTTTATAATCGTACCTCGTTTATTGTGTCTATTTTTTGTTTTGATGCATGCAGCGTTTTGAACATTTTTAATACAGATGAATAGTATCCTCATTGTCAGACAAATGGTTTTCAAAAACCTGTACCAACCTGAATAATGTTAAGACTGCTCTCCCTCACTCCCTGTACATCCAAATAGACCAATCAGCAGCTTAGTCCACATTTCTGATCGAAATAACGTCACGCAATTGGCTGGCGCGCGGGGTCGCACAAACGTTACATGATGGGATATATCAGGCGTTCGACCGTGGCTCTTGCACACGTGAATATCTGATCCTCAGACTACCCAAATACTAGTTTTCAAATTACGAATTGTTTGCGGCCCGGAAATACTCCAGTCGTTTTTTCTTTTGTGTGTGCTGTATTGGGCACGAAAAGAACCCAAAATAAAAGCGTCTTGAAGTTCTCGAAAGGGGTAACAACGTCAAAAGTAGAGAGAAAAAAGTAGTTTTTGTCCTTCATGATAAATCAGCATGAATATTGAACATTCGCCAGGGGAAATAGTCGACTACGCGGGTTAAGCAAGTTTAACTGCAATAGAAATTTTGTGGAAACTCATATCCATCCTCTATCTTATATAACATTTTACAAAAGGTGTAAAAGACACCACCCAATTATAAATGATTTATTTTCCAAGAAGTACAAAAGGGTGTGGTTTGGGTGTATTGAATACACCTGAAAACACTCGTATTCCTTATTTTTTTCCGCTGCGTAGGTTCGTACCAAAGATCTTGAATTTACAACACAGGAGCTCTCTCGCTACTTCGGTGTTAAAAGCCACGAAAAAGGTATTTGCAATTGATGTGGGCATCCGCGCTAAAACATCGTTTTATTTTAGTGACGTCTTTCCACACGGAATATGACAAAATTATGAACGTCTCTCGATTCATAAGAAATACGAACATTGCCGCATAAATATTTTGTTTATACGAAGTATAATTTATGTATCGGGTTTATTTGCAAACTACTGCGTTTATTCGCAAAGCTGATGCGTTTTATTTGCAAAACTATTTCGGTTCAGTATCACTTACAAAACCTGACACTATACTGCACATCAGTACGATGCTAGCTATTAAACTCAATATTCCAAAATGCATTGCCACAACGCATTCCTTTGTGCACGCTCATTACAAGGTGCAATAGTTTTTAAAAAAGTAGTGTTGAGAGAAGTCACCAAAAGTTCATTGCATTGAAGACCATAACATTTTTCTCTCTGTCCTGTGTAGCCCCGGAATATGAGATCGTGTACCCACTCGTAGTCGAAGCTGAAGGCAAGAGGAGTGTTGGCAAGGGAGCCACTGCCGCCTCATTCTTAGAACTGGAAGTCGAAGCCTTTGGAGAGACGCTTAACCTCATCGTAGACCACGACGACAGTAATTATGCCCCTGGACTCAAGGTTGAGATCTACACAGATGAAGGCATCCAGAAAGTGCCGCTTCGGACTGACTGCGTCTACACAGGGAAGGTAGCCGGTGAAAAGGACTCTCTTGCATCCGTAACCGTTTGTGACGGCTTGGTAAGTCATCGGCCTAGTGCTACGGTGAATCCCATAGCTGCCACCAAAATGTTTGATGAAGGGTTTATAGTATCATTGATTGGAATAAGTTTTGACATTTCCCAAGTAAATAATGAAAGGAATTATTTCAAAAGTAATCCTTGTCTGGAGCCGACACCAAAGGTCTGTTTGCATGCCTTTTATTCGGTTGTTTTATTTTCTGAATGGTGTCTTTTTTGCAAGATGGCGGTCATATTTCGCAACTATGGCCGTGGTGAGCTTTACATCGAGCCACTAGATGACGAACATGCCGTCAAGCGAGATGTTGGTCGGGGTCACCCGCACGTTGCCTATAGGAACAGACCAGTGGAAAGAGGGGCATTCTGCGAGACAGAACGTAATATAATGTATTTGCTTTTGTTTTTATTGATCACACTTTTAAAACAAATTCCGCAAGTAAGTCAAAACAATAAAGAACTCACATTTCTGACGCAGATCATTCATTCTGAAGCTGAAATCTGGAATGCTGAACTAAAGTTAAAAGGCTCAACTATTTCTTCGCCTTTATATAAACCTGCTCACAATAATTTCAACATTGATCTACCTTTTGTTGGTAATTTTTGACAATGAGTCGTCAGTTTCTTATGACAGCTTGTCAAACTCCAAGCTTGATGCCCGACTGGTTTGTTTTTTAATTGTTCTCCTAAGCGCCACCAACTTTGCCGTTAACATTTGCTGACGAGCCGCCAGAAACCTTGCTGATTGACACGAAGGCAACGAAATATCTGGAGCTGGCATTCATTTCCGATCCAATGTACACTATTATTAAAGGGGGCAGCACCAGCACAGCCACCACGTGCATTAACACCCTCTTCAACGCGGTGAGTTTTCGGATGAAATCCGATAATTTGCAATTATGCGATACCGGTTATATAATGACAGAAACCTTGCTCAAAGTGAAGGTTAGACTGTTTGTTACAACTGATAATATAGCAACCAACGGATAGCGTATCACCAACCTATAATTTCACACACAAATTGACCGGAGCTGTAGCACTATAACCGATCATTGACCAATAGTTGTAGTAAATGTTGCCACACCGTGGGTCAACTGTTGTTACATTATCGGTTAGGATCGAACAATCAGTCAAAAAGAAGAAGCTATTGCTTTAAACGAAAAAGCGAAAGCAGTTGACCTTATAAGTGCCTCTAATTTTCCATTTATCAATGTATACCTAGTGTGTCACTAAAGCATCAAATAATGTTGAAAAGCGGGAACTGTTGTAAAGAAAAAAGGTAAGCCTATAAAGTAAAAAAAAAAAAAAAAAAAAAAGAGTCCATTGGAAGAAAGGGAAAATTGGCCTACATGTGCTCGAGCTTATGCCAGTTTTTCATACCACGTTGCGATACAGATGCCTTTGTTGAGTTATTTTCCTGCGCCCATTGGCGGCGTTGGTGTCATTAGCAAATCCGAATGAATTTGAAGGCCAGATGCAGGCAGTTGACCAAATAGGTGTTGCTCGACCACGCCCCCATTATCATTTTGCCGGTATTATTTTGTCGTCACCATTGTTACCTTATTTTTGATACTTTTGAGAAGGCTTCTGCTTCTGCTCTTATACTGGCTGGACTCTATGACGAGTATAATAGCCAGGCTTGTGCGAGGGTGTGTGGGGATTTATTGGAGTTGCTGCTAAAAACTGATCAGTGACGTTGCATTGACTAATGAATCGTCCAGGGCATTCCACTCTACCACAGTTCGTGGGAAAAATTAGAACTTGTGGATGTCCAGGCGTGCACTTCGGGTGATGTAACCTTTGGTGTTGGTATAGCGGGAGCGGTTCTTCACATTGTGCGCCTACCATTGTTGGTGATGAAAGACGCATATTTACAAGTATTCTTCAGCGATTTTTCCTCTTTGCTTTCTCATTCTTATATATAATTAAGGTGAAAAATGTTTTGCAATTGGTTTCTCTGAGAGGAACTGCGCTGGTTCCCAAGCTGACGTATGTCAAGGTCTTTGGATCAATGGAGGTAGGTTTATGGTGAAACAGCATATGGAAGAGAGTCATGGAACAAAAGTTGAAGTTCAAATTAAAGCAGTCTATCTCTAATGAAGACTGGATTCGCTGAAGCCCATATGAAGTTTTTTTTTTTTTAATATTGCATCAAGTCTAACGTGTCCAGGCTACATCTATCCTTTGACTGAAACTGTCTTTCTTTGTATTGATATATTTTTTAACTTAACGAAAACAATAACGGAAGTTTTGCAAGGTACAGAATAGTGTCTGCAACAATTTGATTATTTGGACTGTGGCTCACGTTTTAAACATATTCCCTTCTTGCCAAAAATTTAAATATGCCCTAAAGAAAATGATAAAGACACATGAAAGAAAATGTCAGTTTCCAATGCATTGTTACCCTATTAAAATACGTGTAGGCGTTTTAATCGTTCTTCACAGTATTACCTTAACAATAGCTATACAGTTTAGCAAGGTTGAACTGTTCGACGAAGACCATTTGCTTGCCATCATCACATAGTTTTTGTCTGGGTTTATTTAGCCTGGATTGGTAATGCATGTTGATGCTGACGACTACCTTGAAGGCGCTGCGCAATGGCAACATAATAATAGGAAATCGTCCTCAAGCATTGAGCATTGGGACAACGCTGCATTCTTGACAGGGTGAGTATTCGTGCGCAACATTGGCGTAAATCTGTGTCTGCGAGTGGGGCGGATTATTGTCGGGCCGCAAATAATTCGAAATCGATTTCTAGAGCAAAATTGGAATATCACAACTATTTTTTTGTCGATATCGTATTTAGAAGTGGAAACAATGTCTTGCTAGAAATAGCAATTAAAAAACAGATTTACTCTCGTGGTTGAATCTCGAAGAGCAGGACGGAGAAAACAACTAAAAAAGAGTAAAAATTCTAAATACTCAAAGTAAGAAAAGAACTAAAAACGAAACTTGACATGTGTAATACGTGGGGTGGAGAGCGTGAAACTCGACGGATTTTGAGCCTTGTTTTGAAAAATAAACAAACAAACAATGCAGGTTCCATAATTTTGATCAGATGTTTCAATAATAGACTTTAGTTTTGGACTCCAAATACCTACATGAAATGATAAAACTACTCCACACCCTTTGCGCTTTGTGTTTTCCTTTCGTCCCAAACAGAGTAGACATTTCAAGTTCAACGGCTGGTGACGGTTTACTGGGCATAGCCTACGTTGGGCAGTGTGGCCAGTGGGGTGCATCACTCAGTGAATTCCGTGGATTGGATGCCACTGGCACTACCGCACACGAGATCGGACACAAGTGAGTTTAGTAGCTATTATGGCAAACATAATTATAATCTTTTTGCTATGTTCACCAAAAATGGCCGCCACACACAAGGAGCCTATAATATTGATCCTGTAGGGATGACAATTTTCGTTTTCTACATTCCCGTGTAAGCTACTTCCCAGTGGCGGATCTAGAGGAGGGTTGCAACCCCCTAAACACCCTTTCAGCCGCTGATTAATGTTCTGGTCCTCGTAAATTGGGGAAAAATTAATAAATGGAATGCTTAAGTTCCTAGATGTATTCTCAAACTGCATTAGAATGCAGGAGAATGTTTTGTACAATTCAACATTTTAGGGGGGGGGGGCATGCCCTTGGCAGGGCGTGCCTTAGGCACGCCTTCCCTCAAGCCCCACATTTCCTGAAAGCTACATCCGCCCGTGCTTCCATTCGCATATAATTTTTCGAGGACTTTCAAAGCTACGTGCTATCACAATGGTGATATCGTTAATTTGGCATGCTGGTTTGGCGCCTTCGCAGGACCCATAGCTATTAAAAACGCCCGCAAACGGGGCCGTATCATAAGTCCGACGCCTCATAAGTCCGACATTTCCGGAATTATGAGGCGTCCGATTTATGAGACATCGAACTTATGGATTCGGCCACATTGCTCTGACACCTCATAAGTCCGACACCTCATAATTCCGACAATCGACAAACGATGTTTCGGACTTGAGGCGTCGGACTTATGAGGCGTCGGACCTATGGGCGTCGGACCTATGAGGCGTCGGACTTATGGGTCTTTATTTGGTTGGGAGATGAGATTTTGTCAGACTTGTGAAGCGTCGGACCTACGAGGCGTCCGACTTATGCGCGGACCACCCCCCCCCCCCGAAAACACCTTTGCGTGATTTAAAAAAAAAATTCGGATTTTTTTATTTATTCAATTTTCAAAATGTTCATGTCTACAAACGTGTCTAAATCTCCCCTTGCACCCTTATACCCATCACGTAAATCACTTTATTTCATCTGCATTGGTTCAATACATGTAGTCTACCTCATTGGTCCAATGGTACATTATTAAAACTGAAGACACTTTATGGCTTGATGGGTACAGCTCAGATACATTGTGTGCAGATATGAATGAAAAACGTGATTTATGTTATGTGTAATGGTATGTACACAAAACGAGTACAGTCATCCATGGGAATGTTTATTTCATAAAACTTTCAAAATGACAGCACTGATCCTTGTAAACTTATAGTTATTATAATGTGAATGTATATTGTGAACTTAAAATATTAAAATATAGTGTTTGATGATGGTCCTTCATACGAGGTGAAGAATAGAAATCAGGCCTTGCACCTCTAAAAGGCATTCCATTAATCTCAATCTACATTTTTTTATGGTGAAACAGGAATAAGACTATCAATTGGGACTTTAATACACCTTTAGATGATTCAGGTAAGCCTACACCAGCACAGCTGATTCACAATATTACTAAACAGATCAATGAATGATTAAAGCAAAAGTGAGTGTGTTGTCATTAAAATTCAAATTCAAAGAAAAACTTTTAAACTCAGATCTTGACTTTAATCAATGATTCAGGTAATTATGCAAAACCTACATGTAAGTTGATTCGATGCTGATGAAGTCCACGTAGGGGTGTTTGAGAGTGTAAAGAACATCTTACACTTTGTAACTAGGTGGAATCAGTTGATTTAAATGATTAAAATGACCCGCAATCAATTTATTTCGCTAAAAATAAGATTTCTACAAAGAAGTGATTTTAAATCATTGATATTAAAAAAAGATCATTCGATTTAAATCGCAATTTATATCAGTGATTTCAATCAACGTGATTTAAATCAACCAAACCTGTTAGAACGCATCCCTGGTCAGTTTATTCCCATGAGCTTAGTCAATTTCAAGATGCCTATGACTTATTCTAATGATACACTTGGCGTAATGATCTGACTTCCATTCGATTAATAATTGTTTGTACTGCCCGTTCACTAATGTCAGGATTATTTATTTTGTGATGGTTAGATCCTTTTATTCTCTCTGAAAAAAATTGAAAAGTTTACCCGATGTGTTTTTATCCAAACGTTAAGAGGAATTAAAATATGTAAACGCTTTTGTATTATTTTAGACGTTTTAAGGTTGTACCAAAATACTTTTCAACCTTCGGGTTGCAAGCAAGTATAAATAAACCAATAATAATAATACTTAAGAGAAATAGTGATGCGGAATGAATATACGAGAAAGGGGTTAATGACCAACCTCGTCCCCAGAGCTTTCTTTATTTCCAACCTCATTTCCAATAGTAAGCCCTGAAATGGGAACTTGCTTCCTGTATCCTGCAATTAGCAGGTAATGGATTTATATCGTGTACTTGGTGTACTTGGTGTTGTTATTTTCAACGTGTATTACGTTTTTTTCACGTTTATTCTGTTATTCTTTCGTCCACAACTTCTGAAAAATAACCCTTTCCTTTCCAACATTAATATGCAGTGTGATACTGCATATTGGCTGGATAAGATTGTATTAACATTTTATCTTGAAACAAATCGTGTTTTCGTAACTCACGCTGCGACGAATTGATTCTGTTTTTATCCCAGACACCACATACAAAAACAAACACTGGTGTAAAACACAGGACAGCACCAGAATATTCTCATTTGCATATATACGTATCCAAACAAAATTGGATATGCAAATGATCTAATACCAGGGTGAGGGAGAAGGTATATAGTGGTGGGAGCGTATTGCTCGACACCCTGGGAACCAGGTTGGTTAATGGCGTATCTGTGGTAAGATGTTATTGAAACCTTCAACGCCATCTTGATTTTTAAATTTTTTTTTGCAACGATTACAGCTTGGGCATGTGGCATGATGCTTCAGGTCCATCGGGTGGTCCTAGAAACGGCTGCTCGTCAAAGGGTTACTTGATGGCTCAATACAAAGCGAATCCTCGCTTAGATCTCGGCTGGTCGTCATGTAGCCGGAGCTACTACGATACCCGTATCACGTGAGTTGCCCCCCCCCAAAAAAAAAGGGTACAAAACTAGACTTTAAATCAAACATATCAAGCTTGCTACCAAAATTGGACGGAGCACTCTGATTTGCTAAGAATCAAGAATCAGGAGGATATGAATATTTATATGATTTACCCATCTCACTCGGTGCAGGCGCCGGTCCCGGCCCACGGGTGTTATTACACTGACGCGCGTGGTGAATGCTTCCAGTGAGTGCTTCTAGTTCACCGTGCAACATAACCTGGATCACATCGATCAAAGAAACAAACAGCCCAACAAACAAAGAAACAAACAGCCCAACAAACAAACAAACAAACACCCCAACAACCCCCCCCAACAAACAAACAAACAAACACCCCAACACCCCAACAAACAAACAAACAAACAAACAAACACCCCAACACCCCCAACAAACAAACAAACAAACAAACAAACAAACACCTCAGCAAACAAATAAACAAACAAACAAAAACAACTATAAAATTATAATACCCGGATTGAGATCTATTAACAGATGTGATAATTTTCCACTATAATACCTGATTTTTGAAGGGCTAGAACTTTTTTCCTTAAATACCATATTGATCTTGATTCTTCATTAACAGTCAGACGACATGCTACAACGATGCTTGAATTTTTACCAGGATGTGATTCAAATCGTAAGTACATATAATTTGCGTCACGTTCAATTATTAGCAGTAATTTCCCTTTTTTTATTGTTTGCCTCTCTGGACCATCATAGACTGGGTTCAATTTTATCACTTTGATTTTATGGTCCTTAATCAATAAACTGAGGGTCCTTTAAGTGATTTTTTTTTTTGGGGGGGGGGTTGAATTTGAGGGAGTAGATTAACTAAGTTAAGTATATGCAATGCTGTGTTCAAAATGAAACAAAATAAGAAAGACGTCTTGATAGGAACAATATCAGACAAGCAGAGTCTTTGCTTTCAAAAGCCACTTACTTTCTAAACCATGGGATCTTTACCGAAAGATATTTATTTGTATTTTGTTTGTTTGTATTTTCAGGACAAAGCGGGAAAATGATCGACATTGTTTTTCTTCTTTCGATTTAAAGACTTTAAAATGCATTAAAAATAGGTCACTTGAAAGTATTGTTTTCATTCGTGAAGGACTGTTTCCACTGTTCAGCTCTTATACCAATACCGATAACACTCTACACGTATAGAACCCTGTTTTCTTTTCACAAAACGTGCTATTAGGTATTCACATTAATCTCTTTACCCCGGGATAACAATAAGGCGTACGACGAAATTAGTGACTGAAGTTTCAAAATTAACAAAACGCTTAGCTGCAGACCACTGTCAGGCAACATTTTTGGTTTGAAACAGACTGTTAATTTGAAGAGACCACATTTCTGGCGGATTTTAACATTAAAAAGGACTTGATGAAAGCCACCAGATTTCATTGTGAAATTTCCAAAACAGTCTCCCAAATTGAGCCTCTTCACCTGTATTGTTCACCCAGATTATGTTTACACTTATGATCAGTCATTAATTGCAAGTCTTGTACTGTTCCCAAACAATGTTCTATGTAAATATTTGCTGCGGTTGTATAAACATGATACAGTTTTTGTTTTCATTTTGAGGTGAAGGGAATACATTTGAATAAATTTGATTTGAAGCATTGAAGCATCAAAATTGTTCTGTTTCTGTTACTCAAGAAAGTATTGAGAGGATTTTGGATTCGATTTTCAGGGTGGTAATTATATCGTCACCGACACCACGAAGTAACACTCATGTACATACCGGTAAAAATTAGCAATCGGAGAAAACGGCATCTAAAGTTGAACGCCTTCTAGAACAACACTTTGCGTCAAAACTAAACAGAGTATTTTCAGTTGAGTTTCTCGTTGTAGACACTTGACGTATTGATGTTATTAAATTTGCTGTTTTTGACTCGTTTGTTAATTAAAACAACAGAAATAAGAGAAAAAAGATGAGTGCTAGTTCGTGAAACCAAAAAAGCTGCGAAACTGTAAAATTTCGTTTTCACGAAGTAGCACGCTTCAATGTATTACAACACTAGAAGAGTGTTACTTCGTGGAAACGGAGGTCAGCGCGCGTGCATTCAAACAACAAGATTGTTACTTCGTGAAAACGTTTTTGCTCGCATTTGAGCAGAGTGCCCGTCATGCATTGCAATGGTAAATAGAACTTGAATGTTACTTCGTCACTTTTGCGCAATAGTTGCCATGGATACTTAGCGTAATTATTAAAGTAAAGCTCTTGAAGCTTTGAAACTTCGTGCAATGGTAGGCCTTGATGAATAATGTTTAAAAATCCAAAAAAATGGAAATCGAAAAAAATATGGTTAAACACGGTAGAGTGTTAATTCGTGGTGTCGGTGACGATATTTATTGAACAGTGTCAAAAAATCTTTTGGTGCCCACCATCGTAAGATGTATTTTCAGCCGAACGTTCCTGAATTTTGAGAGAAATCTAATAGGCTATATTATTATGACATCATTTATTTACGCTGTGGTGACCACAGGAGGGCGCTTTACCATTTTTGCGGGCTTATTTTTTTGGAAAACATATTTTTGTTTTACAAATCTATTTATCTTCATTCAAACGCCGTCGTATTTGGCGTAGTTAGTCGTTGAATCATATTAGTTTTCAGCGCAAAGGGTCACCGTTAGGGGCGCTTAAACATTTTGGGTATTTTATGGGGGTGTTTCCCACCTTGCTGACATGGTAAAGCGTTTCGTATTATGCATAGGCTTCCCGTTTACATAATACATGATCATCACTGCACTGTGATTTGCACGTCAATTTTCGAACAGCCATGACCGGACTAGGACTCGTTTTCGACCCAACTTGAAATGACTCGAGACTCTGACCCGGACTCGACTAAAGTGACTCGACTGCAATACTGAAAATAGGTATTGTTTTTACGAGTGTATGTAGTGAAACTGTGGTGTCAGGTTCAGGGGTGTAGTTAGTACTGATCGAGTCGTCTTTATTTCATCATCAATATATAAAATTATATATTAAAAAAAACCTATTAATAAAATCAAATCAAAATTAAACGATATAAACATTCGTAAATGCTACATGTACATGTGTCTTCCATTAATCAAAATAAACTTAATAAATTAAACCTGGAAAGTATATCATATACATGTATATGTATGTTGTGTGCTAAAGTAGAACGACCCTTGCATGCACGGGTGACCTTTGACCTTGTCAGCGCCATAAAACTACACAACATTGTCATATACACAACGAAGAAAATAGTGTGAAAATCTTCACCATACAAGCCAGTGCCTTGGGTCCCTGGGTTGCCTCTCCTTCCCTCGTTCGGGTCCCTAACTGCAAACAATATGGCCCTTCTATGGCCATAAAAATGAGTAAAATGTACTTTAACGAGACTCCAGCGAGCTCAGCAACTCGTCATCTGTGAGAATGCCCGCAACTAACCCGTTCACGTAAACTTATGTTTACTATTAATAAGCCGCACACAGTTAAGAATAAAAATCACCAATGGATACTCATAGACTTTCCATTACTTATTGGAAGTTTACCCTCAGTACCACTCGACCTTATAAAAATGGATGGAACCCCTTTTATTTCACTTATATCCTCAAAAGGACCCCTTAATTATGCACGCACTACTTTTTATTCATATAACCCCCAAGCAAATCCACGGAAGGTCGACCCGTAAACTGAAACAGCGCCGTCAATCGGCTGTAAATGAACTTTACAATTCTTATTATAGAAACATTATTTCTAATCACTACACAAGTAAAGTCGTTTATTATAGAGCGCCTGTTGGTTTTGCTGTAAAAGGATTACTGGAAACACGCTTGAAAAAGTATGAAAGCACAAATAACATGAATATATGAAAAAAAAACAGAGTTCACATCAGTTCACTTTGGTACTGGATTTGGTGTTTGGTGAGTCGTGGCTGAAGGGCGCTATCTAGATATAAGCGTACTTTCAGCAAAAAGTTTAGGTATATAGCTAAAAAAGAAGACGAGATAAGAGTTTTGGGTGGAACACAAAATACATCAAATCTTATTTCTCAAGGTAAAGACGATGGCGATAGGCTAGGTCGGATGATAAACATCGAACTGCGAAAGTTGCACGGTATAAGAAGAAACTGATAGAAATCAAAATGACGTAAAAAAAGAAGAAGATAGAAATGCAAGTGGCCGAAAGATTAGAGCACGAAAAAGGCTCCTAACGAAAACTTACGATTTCCACATCTCAGTAACGAAAAAATAAGTTTAATTTGTACGTCAGGCACGACATTTTTACCCTGTCAGCTCTTACGACAATAACTCTACAGCACTAGCCTTAATTTCAAGGCTGTGCTGTATCAGCGGGCGCGTATCACTGCCAGGGCAACAGCTAGCTTACCCAGCTCTGGCCCCCGGCCCTGTACACACACGGAGAAACCCCGATACGTAGTATGAAACCCGCAGTACATGCACATCAGTATGGAGCCCGTTGCTGGCGAGGGCCCCCTGCTGGAAGATTGTGACACCGGTTCTTCTGAGAGACGTTTTGGATGAATCATAGATGGAGAAAGTTGAAGAAACCGAACATTTTATTTTGTCTGGATAGATTTAACGGGAAGGTGCATTGAAAGGACTATAAGGTACACTTCATGGCCGGTCGTGTGGCCAATGTGTGGAACGACGAGCAAGCAAATGTGTTTCTTCCTGTCCCTCCAGGGACCAGCTTTAAGTGTGTTGGGCTGGCAGCCGGAGGGTAGGAAATATTCCTGCAGGGATTTCATCCACTCTTATTGTTAGACCAGAGGTTCGGCCCAGGTCAACAGGCGGAGTACAATTTAATGGAGCTGCGACATCGTCGTCAGGGAGACAAAGAGACATAACTGGAGTCAGGGCAGAGTATCAGGGAACTCTCTGCGTTGGCGTATCCCGAATTCTCAGATGAAGGGAGGGGCGTACCGACTAGCGAGAGGATTTTCATGGATTAAGTTGGAAAAAGGGCGATTAGAGAAGCGATTTTCGGGCCAAACCAACATCCCTGGATGACTCGATTAAGGCATATCTGGCTGCTGAGAGCTACCACAAGGTGGAGGAGCAGAGAGCTGCAGACAAAACAAAGAAGTATGTAAGAATGGTGCAGACAGAACCAATCGTGGAGGTCGAGGCTACGGGAGAGGTTCCGATTAATCAGGAAGTTGTAGATCGAGCTGTCCAGCAGATAATTTCCCGTGTAGGGGAGAACGTGCCAAAGGAGACGATACGAGCTTTCGGACGCTGCAGGAAGGCAAACAATGAAAAAGTGCCACAATATTGAAGGTGCTAAGGACATTTTGCATGAAACTGCAAGAAGCCGAAGGTAACGAGATCAAGGGTGTCTGGAAACGACATGCAGCCGTCTCAGGGACCCGTGGGGTGGCTGGGAGAAGTCAAGGGTCAGGAAAAGTCAAGGAAGCCACCCCAAGGTGGAAGCGGATCAGCAGATCTTGAGGTGAACACCCACCAGTAGCCCGACTGCCTTTGGCCGTACAGTTCTATTGCAAGCTCTGTAGTACGGCCAGACAGCCAATGCTCCCCTAAACGCTAAACTCTGATGTAGCGAATTTGCTATCAATTTTGATCAAGATTATCTTCTCATCCAGGACAGAAATTTCCAAAGTTAAGGTTCCTAGTCGTAGAGGAACTCATACCTTTTCAAAAAAACCCCGTTCTTTTATCTAAAAATGTTCATCCATCTGGCCAAAAGACGACTTCCAGTCACCATCTCCCACGAATATCGTCCCAAAAATTTTCCTCCATGCGATTTCAAAATGGCGGCCGCGTTGTAATGTATGCATTATGCGGGCGCTGTGGTCCAATGGTTACGGTGTTCGACTCGTGTGCCGTGGTGCATGGGTTCGACTCCTGACCGTGGGAACATGGTACTTGTGCTCTTGAGCAAGGCACTTTACCATTATTGCTTCGTCCTTCGGATGGGACGTAAAGCCGTAGGTCCCGTGTGTTGTGTAATGCACGTTAAAGAACCCAGTAACACTTATCGCTAAGAGAAGGGGTTTGCCCCGGTGTTTCTGGCAGTGGCTGCAATATGCGCCGCAGTACCTTGTAAACCATTATAAGGTGCTACATAATGGGTCTCATATTTCTCATAAACTTTATTTACCTTTCTTTAATAATTGACATAATTTCCAGCGCCTTGAGTACCTAATTGTTGGTAGATACGTGCGCTATATAAGGCTCCGTTATTATTATTATTATTATTGAGCAAGATTATGAATATGCATATTGATCAGTTCATGACCTCGTGTTTGTATGGCCAGCCGCCCCGCACGCCTGAAAAAGTCATGAACTAAATGCATATTTATTTATAAAGAGGAGGCTGTGTATGCACTTAACGACAGCAATGAACATTGCGATACCTTCTCAGCACAGGCATCAAACGAGAGTGAAGTGCTGATTGCGACACCCCCGAAGAGTACACCTGAAGTAGTGGATACATTTCCAGCATGTATGTCAAACAACGAAGTTGGAGTCCGACGGAACGAAGGAACCAGTTACAAAGCCAGAGGCTGAGACGACATTGTATCCAAACAAGACACCAGAACCGGACAAGACAATCGATCACGTCAAGACAGCGGATCCAGTCAAGACAGCGGAACCCGACAGGGCGCACAAGAACAGTGAAACAACGGTTCTGGAGCTGGTGCAGCATGGTCAAAAGCAGCGCCTGCTTTAGGTGATACAGCTGCCGAAAGCAGAACTTTTGACATACGATGGAGATCGTATTGGGCATTCATACGATCCATTGAGAAAGTGTGGACAGCTCCAATTTGGAGGACAGTGCTAAGTTGATTCGGTTGTTACAGTACTGTACTGGTAAGGCAAAGAAAGTGATACAGCGTTGTTCTGCAATGCAGCCACATGAAGGGTATAAGAAGGCTAAGGCCTTGCTTAAGGAAAGGTTGGTAACAAGTATACAATTGCTGAAGCTTGGGTGAATAAGGTTACTGAGGGTAGTAGTATTGGCTCACGTGACAAGAAATCACTAAGAGAGTATGCAGATGATCTGAAAACCTGTAGGGAGACCCTTAATGCCATGGGTTACATTCAGGAAGTAAATACTCAGAAAGTGTTGGTTACTATGATTGAAAAAATGCCAAGTTATCTCCGTAACCGATGGATCAAGCAGATTAGGGTAATCAGAAAGAAAAATGACAGGTCACCCCAAATAGGGGATATGGTAGAATTTGTAGAAGACGCAGCTAAAGAAGCTAATGATCCTGTATATGGTGCATTGAGTAAGCCAAAGGACAGACATGTTGTAACAAACAAGAATGTTCCAAAGTCCTCTGTAAGTTGTTATAGCAAAGGTAGTTACACCATGATGACAAATGCCAAACCGTAATATGGTAACATGACAGGTGTACTGTGTTACGGTAGTCACACCTTGTTTGGGTGTTCAGAATTTAAGAGTAAGAAACAAGAAGATAGATTTGAATTTGCTAGGGCAACAAAACTGTGCTATAACTGTTTGAGACCTGGGCATACATTGTATGTCAAATTCATGTACATTAAACCGAGTTTGCTCTGTTGCAGGGTGTGGGAAAAAGCATACTAAGTTCTTGCACCAGATTAAAACCATCCGTCCCCGTAGGTCAGTATACCCCGAGAACTGAGGTCACGACGGCACCAGCAGAAGCAGTGGCATCAGTGCAAAGTCTCTCACAACATTGGCAGGGGCAAACGTGCAAACAGCGACAACTGTCATCAGTCTGATAGTTAGCGGTATCGACTGCGAAACCCCAGTGGAACTTCCGTTGGTGTATACAAGACGTGAGCTCCCTATCCACGATGCTTACTTCGCCAAGCAAGAGGACATTGAAAGATGGCCTCACCTGCAAGGTATCAAGCTGCCACAAGTTGACAAAGGTCGAGTACAGCTATTGATTGGTCAAGATGCACCAGAAGCGTTGATGCCACATGAACGTTGATGTCAAGAAGGGTGAGAAGAACGCCCCATATGCGACAAGAACACAGCTCATATGGTCGCTGAATGGACCACTGGGAATGGCAAACAAACACACATCAGCTACATCCAACTTCATTGCAGCCGACGACAGTTTAGAGAGACAACTAATGATGTTCTGGAAGTTGGACAGGACTGATCCTTTCATGATGACACCAAGGGGATATCGGTGAACGACAAGCAGGCTATTGCGATATGGGAGGAAGGTGTTCGTCTCACCGATGGGCACTACGAGATAGCGATCCCATTTAAGAATTATCCTCCGCACTTGGTTGATAATCGCACTGTTGCGGAACGTCGTCTTATTTCGTTGAGCAAGCGGCTGCAAAGAGAGACACACTACTGCACGCTAAGTACACGGAAGGCATGAACATACTACAACAACATATTACGGTTATACCATCCGAAGAAGCCGGACAAGGTTCGCATAGTATTTGACTGTGCGTCTAAGCATTGCGGAACATCACTCAACGACGAGGTGCTTGGTGGACCAGATTTGACCAAGCTGTTGGGGGTACTCTTGAGGTTTCGGCAAGAGACAGTGGCACTTATGGCTGATGTCCAAGCCATGTTCCATCAGGTCAAAGTCACTCATGAAGAGCGAGATGTCTTGAGATATCCGTGGTGGTCTGATGGTGACAGCTCTCGACAGCCGAGTGTGTATAGGATAACTGTACACTCCTACGGTGGTATACATGGAGTCCAAGCTGTTGCACCTTCGCTCTGCAACGTACCGCTGAGGATAATTGAGCGGACATCCAACCCGACACAGTCGACACAGTCATGCGTAAATTTTACGTAGACGACTGTTTGAAATCTGTCGCCAGTGAAGAGAAAGTCTTCTAGCTAGAGGAGGTTTTAGGTTGACAAAGTGGGTAAACAGCAGCCCACAAGTTCTTGCGTCCTTCCCCATGGAAGAGAGAGCGAAGGATGTCAAGGAGCTCGATCTGAACTACGAGGCATTGCCGACCGAGAGAGCGCTCGGAATGCAGTGGGACGTTGAACTCGACTGTTTTGGCTATAAAATCAGTCCCAGTGACAAGCCATTGACAAGAAGAGGAATACTTAGTGTCTGCAGTTCTATCTATGATCCACATGGGTTTGTGAGTCTGTTCACTCTGAGAGCCAAGGTTATGCCGCAGAAAGCTAACATGGGATGAGTCGCTTCCATCTGAGCACCTCAACAGTTGGCAACAGTGGAAACAAGCACTACCAGAGATAAAACAGTTCAGGGTGAACAGAAGTATAAAGCCTTATGGTTTTGGAGAGGCAGGTAAATATCAACTGCACCATTTCTCGGATGATTCAGAACTGAAGTGGCTTACGGAGCGACAACCTATTTGCATATGACAAACTCGGAAGGCGACAAGCAGTCTTGCCTTCTTTTGGCCAAGTCACATCTAACCCCTCTGAAAAAGATGACCATACCCAGGCTGGAATTGATGGGTGCGACACTCTCCGTCAAACTTGATGCTGTGGTTCGTAGAGAGTTAGATGTGCCATTAGAGGATTCGGTATTTTGGACGGACAGCACCATAGTACTGCAGTATGTGAAGAATGAGGAGCGACGGTTTCTTACATTCGTGGCAAATAGAGTTGCAGTTATCCACAGCGGGTCATCACCAAGTCAACGGTATCATGTTGAATCTAGGCTTAATCCTGCCGATGATGTTACAAGAGGACAAACAGCTAAGGAGCTGCTTGCTGAGCGATGGCTCAATGGACCCGACTTCCTTTGCCTGGAAGATAGTGAATAGCCAAAATCACCAAGCCTGAGAGATCTTGCAGATGAAGATCCAGAGATAAAGCCAGACAAGGAGGTGGTTACTGTATGTGTTGTAGACGATGTGGTAGACAGGTTGTTGAAGAGGCATTCCTGTTGTGGCATGATTGTTGCGGGTGAAAAACTACTTGCGAGCCAAGGCAAAGAACAACAGTAGACATGCCGATGCTCCTGACCGTAGATGAGATGACGAGAGCAGAGGATGATATCATATTATATATCCAGAGACAGTCCTTTTGTGAAGAATTGAAGTTCCTCCAGAAGGACAAGGTAGATTCCAAAAGGTCAAAGGACTACATCAAGAAGACAAGTCCTCTTTACAAGCTTGACCCAGTGTTGTCTGCTGATGGTATCATTGGGATTGGTGGTCGTCTGAAGAACGCTCTAGTAGACGAGGGCGTGAAACGTCCGACCAGCACCCCCTGGCAAAAGTTTGTTCCAGCGGCAGTGCTACACAAGTCATGTGAGGGCAAAAGGAATTGTGGGGGGAAAAGAGATCGGTCAATGTGTGGCATGCATTCACGTACGAGTGGTCCAGTTTCGTAGAGTGAAAAGGTGTTTTTTTTTCTTCTCTGGATATAATTTGATTAGTATCCGTTCCCTGCTGCTTGGACACGAGGCTTTGGGTCTCACCACACATCAACTTCATAATTTGATGCAGATGGATGGTGTGCCTCGTCCTACACGATGAGAACCGTTGGAGCAGTACAAAGGAGGCTACATCAACTGATGAAGTTGATGACTTGTCTGTGATCCACAGCCTCATGTCAAAGCAGGAGAAAACGGATACTCGTGTCATCCTTTACCTGATCTATACGCGGTTGAGGCTGGAATGCCGATGTTCATACACCAGACACAAACATTGTCTTCATCCACAGTTTACATTATCTACAGCAACTAATCAAAATATATTCAGAGAAAAAAACACCTTTTCACTCTACGAAACTGGGCCACTCAATCGTGAATTCATGCCACACAATGACCGATCTCTTCTTTCCACAATTCCTTCTGTCCCCACATGACTTGTGTAGGCGAGAAGAGGAGGGTGGTCGATGTCACTGGTGTAGAACTACTGTCCTGCACTGATGATCATCTACCTTTCACGGGGAGGACTGAAAGTCGTCCCATACCGCAGAAATTCCCCAAATATCAAGATGCTTTTAGGCATCAGGGAGTTTGTGGAGTGGAAGCTGATGAGGCAGGAGATTTATGAGTTGTTGGAGGAATTCACCTGCTTGCTACAGTCATGCTCGCCTCACTCATGATGACGAGATGAGGCGAGGACAGTGATGCTCAAGAAGATGGTTCGGGATGAGGAGAACCTGAACAGCAATTCTGTCTACCCTGCAAAGACTCTCTCATCCCTCATAATCAACCGAGTAAGCTACAGGGTGTATCAATTGAAGCGGTACCACGTCCAAATTTACGACCTAGCTCCCAAAACCAGAGGATGGACATGGCTGGGTGAAGACCGATGGCACTCTCGAACCACTTTGGTCACTCTGTCCAAAACTTCCTCCTTCACTGCACTCGTACAGTTACTTTTGAAGCAGATTTTGTGGTAGCTGTGAATCGACCTCGCCATTGCACGCTGGAAATACCAACACCAAGTACACGATATAAACCCATTACATGCTAATTGCGGTATCGAATCAGGGTACAGGAAGAAAGTTTCCCATTCAGGGCTTACTATTGGAAACGATGTTGAAAATAAGGTAAGCCCTGGGGACGAGGTTGTGCTTGCGTCAGTTGTTCTTTGCACTTGACTCAGGTATATATCTGTGACGTCAAAACTCACGAGATTGTCACTTTTCCTCTAGGGCTACGTACCAGCAAAAAAGTTTCACTCAAATTGCTGATGAAACTATATACGGATACTACGGATATTGTTTTGGGGCAACCTTCAAAAATCCATTAACTCGAGTTTAATGAATTTGTGGGGAAAAGGCTCGAAAAGCTCTTGAACTTAGCGAACTCCTTCAACAAAATGAACGTCAAAGTACGAACCTTGGGTGAAGGATGGGATTGATTTTTTTGGGGGCTAAGTGCTGGCAGTGTTTGTTTGTTTGTTTGTTTGTTGGTGTGTTTATTTGTTTTTCAGCTTCGTTGACACGGTTGAGGAGGAACCGAAGACACATTGTAGTAACTCTAGAATTCAGGCCGTTCCTACGCACATCTCTCGAAAGCGAAGCGTGAGACCGACCGTTGTTCATTTTTATATAACGCCTATCGGTACTGTGCACTTTAAAAAACCCTGCCAGCAGGTCAGATTTGAGCCGGACGGCGGGTCACATTTCACCTGGTACTTTTCAGGGTCAAAATAACATTTTCCCGATCTTTGTCCAGTCAGGTCCCCCCGAAAACCTTCGGGATGAGAGCCACTTTTTCTATACATTTGGGGGAAATGACCAGCGGAGACTTCATGGGGAATATTCAGTGTTGGAGGTCTCGAGGCCGGCCTCGGCCTCGAGGCCGGCCTCGGCCTCGAGGCCGGCCTCGCCTCGGCCTCGAGGCCGGCCTCGGCCTCGAGGCCGGCCTCGGCCTCGAGGCCGGCCTCGAGGCCGATTTTCATGGCCTCGGCCTCGGCCTTGGCCTCGGAGGTGCAAGGCCTCGGCCTTGGCCTTGGCCTCGGAGCCTTCCGGCCTCGGCGAATCGGTCGATTCGGCCCATTTTGATGTGTTTTCTATTCTAATTTATTTGTAATTTTTTACCGTATCAAACCCTCGAGATTCTGCCGCAGTGGGTTCCGTGAAACGAACGCATATTATGTACGCACGAATGAACTGGAAATGGTTGCATTGAACGTACTCACGTACGTAGCATCTTCGCCTAGCCTGCGCTTCAGCTTTCCACGTGCGTGCAAGCGTTATAACTGTTACCGCGTGCCAGACTACATAAGTCTGGCACCGATCCCATTTGCGTACAATAACATGTGGTAGTAGACTAGTCTGGTTGCAGTGTTGTACACAATTTTCTCGTTTCGCCTCTGTACCCCGACCTTTAAAAATGATTTGCGGCAAGGTGCGGCAAGCTTTATCATTTCTTTTTATAGGCCCTGTTTCAGTAAAAGTCTGAACTTTCTGGGTACGATCGAGTGTACTAGTCCGTACCATTTTTCCCCATAAAGATATGATAAAAACAATTACGATTTATCAAGTAGATTTTATTTTTACACGGTGATTTAAATGAAAGTTCCGGCTCACACGGTAATGTTTGGCGCAAATGGTCGATATGGAAAGCGCGATTTCAGAATTCGTTTTTCCATCCAAATGAATGCAAAGTTCTGAATGAATGTTTTAATAATAGGAGTCAGTATTCCTCGTGGTACCAGGTTACTTTTTGTATTTTTAGAGCCATATGTTGATACTTCTTACATGTATAAGCACGGTTTGAAATTGCCTAATTTTGCGTGGTTGCAGATATATGGCCAAAACCTCTGGACTCCCTACCTCTTGCCATGATCTTAAAATTCTTCAAAGCCATTGGATTCAAATCGGATGATCCGAGAATTGGTCATTTTGATGAACTGAGTGATATCATGCACGCATTTTCCATGTTGCCGTGTTGTTTGGAGCGGGATTGGCCGCGGTATTAACAGTGATAATGCGTGGACACTTATCCCGTTGTGTGGAGCGGGATTGGAACTATGCTTTGCCCGTGCGTAACGACGGGCCGTCTGGCATTGTCTGGTCGCATCGCGGTGTTTGTTCGGCGCGCGCCTGGACAGTGCGAAGGTTGGGGGGGGGGGGGGTCGTAACTTTTTGGTTATGAGTGGTAAAAACCTGATTCAAAAATTCAAGTTGTTGTTTATTTAATGGGGATTCCTATGATATTAAGCATTTTGATAGGTTTTGAAAATGATTTATAAAACATGCTAAAAGTAAATGATGTAAATCTTATAGAATAGAAACTCAAAATTTGGCCATTTAAATTGTTGTATCTCCAAAAGGCAAACACCTATGAGCCTGATTCAAACGCCATTGATTTTGTTGTGTAATTTGCTTTCAGTGATACAAAACTTGAGATTTCTTTCTTTAAAAAATAAAATTCGCCGGACTCCCTACAAGAGGAAACCCATTGCAAGCTGTAAATTTGTAAGCCAGGCACTCCAAAACTCAGTGAATTCAACTAAAAAGATTTTAAAACTCCAACATAATCTTAGCCTTGTTTTAGTGATATATATTTTATTACGTGTTTTGATAGCTGGCCTCGGCCTCGGCCTTGGCCTCGGAGGTGGTGGCCTCGGCCTTGGCCTCGCGGTTGTGGCCTCGGCCTCGGCCTCGGCCTTGGCCTCGGAGGTTGTGGCCTCGGCCTTGGCCTCGGGTTGTGGCCTCGACTTCAACACTGGAAATATTACTGCCTTACCTTACCGTTCAGAGTAACACAAAATTCGTCTGGGTCTACTTTGTTGATTTTTCATCATCAGCTCTAAATGCATTTCAGCATTGGCCTACGGATGCAATCAATTTGAAGCCCCATTAGCCCCTAGGCCTATTCATTATTTAATTAAAAGAAACAGTACAAGTGTACCTATAAGTATAGTTTTACGATTAAGTGGTCTCTTCACGTTTATTAACTTATAACGTTTGAAGTATTCGAATGTAATTGTGAAGCCCATAATTCTGAAGTGTTTATTGATGCTGGTAGGGTAACAAGGACGTTTGCATTGGGCACCAAGAAGCGCTTTCTGGGGCTGCATGAGACGGTGTGAGGGCTTCTGTTTGTCTCCCGTTGTACAAAAAACGGGGGTTTGGGCGCATGGACAAGCCCAAACGCAGTCTATAAATCGCCCACAAAATGACCCAAATTCGTCATTCCTACGACTCAACAGCTGCAGAATGATGCTGAAGATTGTCGTGCTTGCCGTGCTGGCCTACACGGCTTACTCCAAGCCAGGGGTACGTATAGACTCTTCATTCAGTGCATCTTTGCAAGATAATTTTCGAACATTGCCGATTATTGTGTCGATATTTATTTTACTAACATCCAGGTTACTTCATAATACCTCGTTTATTATGTCTTTTTTTGGATACAGCTTTTTGCACAACTTTTTTAAATTACAGCTGAATGTTATCCTGTCAGACAAATGGTTTTCAAAAACCTGTACCAACCTGAATAATGTTAAGATTGCTCTCCCTGTACATCCAAATAGACCAATCAGCAGCTTAGTCCACGCATGTTTACGTTACATACCAAGTGTGGACATTCCCTTGGTTTCGTAGTTAAGAAAAACCATGCAGTCAAAAAAAACCTCATTTTTCTCAAACTGTGAAAACTCAACCCATTTTCCCCCCCTATGATCCCCTTTAGTGTTTCTCTTCATTTTGCCACCTGTAAACCTAACCCAAAAATGCCTCTATAAACCTGTTTTCCTAAAATGGGGAAACACTGTGTTGTCTCCTCTGCCACACCAAGGGCGGATCCAGAACACAATTTGGGGGGGGGGGCCCAAAAAAATTTGCTCCCCCCAAAAAGTGGGTCAAAAAAATTACGGCGTGGGTTTTTTTTGAGGAAAAGATGGTGGTGTACTCATTGCCTGCCTTTATTGCGATGTCACATACAAAACAAAAATTGGTTTCGTTTGGGGGGGGGGGGGGAGGCATGGCCCCCTTTGGCCCCCCCCCCGGATCCGCCCTTGTGCCACACACGTAAACACCGGCAATCGTGGACGTCCCATTGTTCCTAATCCTCTTTCCTTTGTTTGTTATCTAACTTTTTAGCAACAGCTCTCATTGGTTTTGTGTGGACGTATTGTTTGTGCCCCAACTCTTTTGTCCTACGTCCACGATTGCCGGTGTTTTCACACGCACACCCACACACCCTAATTATTGTCGTTAGCTTTATTCATGATATTTCAGTTAACCTTTATCTGTCATTCCTGTGCATACTCATCCACTTCGTTATAATTCATCCCTGTTTATCCTTTGCAACTAACACTGAGCTGTGCTTTGCGGGGCATTTTGCCACTAATCGACCCGCGCATTGCTGTTGTTTTTGTGCGGGGCGGCTCCCCTAATAAAAGCTCAGTGTCGCTTGGACTCACTTCCCTTCTATTGCAGGGAACACTTGGCCGGCCGTGAAATAATATTTACATCTAAACATTAGAAAACATTCATTATCTTTTAGGGGATCGTGACATAGATTTTACTCTAAAATATATTCTGCACTTGCTACTCCTGCTAAATGTAAACCTTACATCTGACCTCCCTTTCGGGTTAATGTTATTATGTAACGTGCACTTTCGGAACTATTTGGCATTTCCCAGTTTTTCTTTTTCTCATGACAATTTCGCGCGTTGTTGCTGTGATGTTATTTCATGAAGGCACTGTAGTAATTAAGATTTTCTGTACTATTTATGAACCACACTTCATGATGTGCTTCCTGACCCTTTTCTGCCTAGCATATTGCCATATTACGGAGCTTTTAAAGGGACATAGATGAAAAAAAAAATTGAAAACATCTTCGTTAGAAAGAAAAAAAATCTGCGTTCGAACGAAAAAAAATCTGCGTTCGAACGAAAAAAATCTGCGTTCGAACGAAAAAAATCTGCGTTCGAACGAAAAAAATCTGCGTTCGAACGAAAAAAATCTGCGTTCGAACGAAAAAAATCTGCGTTCGAACGAAAAAAAATCTGCGTTCGAACGAAAAAAATCTGCGTTCGAACGAAAAAAATCTGCGTTCGAACGAAAAAAATCTGCGTTCGAACGAAAAAAATCTGCGTTCGAACGAAAAAAATCTGCGTTCGAACGAAAAAAAATCTGCGTTCGAACGAAAAAAATCTGCGTTCGAACGAAAAAAATCTGCGTTCGAACGAAAAAAAATCTGCGTTCGAACGAAAAAAATCTGCGTTCGAACGAAAAAAATCTGCGTTCGAACGAAAAAAATCTGCGTTCGAACGAAAAAGCTGTTTGCTGTTTGCTGTAAGCTGTTTGCCCTCCCTGTGCTGCCCCACCACTTATGTGGGTGATTTTTGTGGGTCAAAACATTCTTTGCCCTGAAAACTGTTGTACCAAACATGTAAAACGTATCAGTCATGATGTGACTCATATCATGCTCTTGTAAGTGCAACAGTTTCTCCACATTTAACTGGTTATCCATGGGCCACCAAAAAACATGTCGGGCTAGCCATGGCTATCAGAATAGCCCGACATGTTTGTCGATTGCTATGAGTATGAGTAGGAATCAGCTAATTAGTGAATCCCGTATCTGAAAGTTAGGAAGCAGAAAGTACATGTACATGTACAAGTGTTAGACTAGTAAAATAGGCTTATTGAAAGCCAGAAATGATCAAACAATATATACATGTCAGTCGCTTCTAAAGTTTGGAACTATTACAAGGGTTAGGAATGAAAATTTATACTGTAAAGGATTTGTGGATAGACAAATTTCTGAAAATCACAATGACGACCAGTTATATTTTTTTACCTGAAAAATTTGAAAGATAATTATATAGCCTTTTTTAATTATTTTTTAAAAACTTGCCTCACTTTATAAAAAGAAACCAAAAAGGCAAATTACTTTTAAAAATGTCTCATAAGTGTGTTGCCTCAGCATAGCATAATGGGTGGGACTGATGGAGTGGGGGGGGGGGGGTTGTGTTGTAGCTAGTATTGTAACAGGATAGGGACTCTTAAAAAAAGAAGGACAATTAGCTAGATCTTCATTGCAATGGTTAAACTTCATGACCAACTAACAGCAAGCCCTAGTAAGACCGTTTGAAAGCTCATAGACTGCTTTAAGACCAGTTATTGAAATTCCTGTACTTGGGCCACGGACCTACATTAGGCACATATGTCATGCATGTAGGACCTGAAAAAACATGACCAAATCACCCACATAAGTGGTGGGGCAGCACAGGGAGGGCAAACAGCTTACAGCAAACAGCAAACAGCTTTTTCGTTCGAACGCAGATTTTTTTCGTTCGAACGCAGATTTTTTTTCGTTCGAACGCAGATTTTTTTCGTTCGAACGCAGATTTTTTTTCGTTCGAACGCAGATTTGTTTCGTTCGAACGCAGATTTTTTTCGTTCGAACGCAGATTTTTTTCGTTCGAACGCAGATTTTTTTTCGTTCGAACGCAGATTTTTTTCGTTCGAACGCAGATTTTTTTCTTTCGAACGCAGATTTTTTTCGTTCGAACGCAGATTTTTTTCGTTCGAACGCAGATTTTTTTCGTTCGAACGCAGATTTTTTTCGTTCGAACGCAGATTTTTTTTCGTTCGAACGCAGATTTTTTTCATTCTTACGATGATTTTTTCAATTTTTTTTTTTCACCTATGTCCCTTTAAAAGCTCCGTACCATATACCTGTATCATAACAACAAACTATTAAATAGCAATACCGCTAAAACAGCCAAATGTCCAGGATTCTGGTCCCGCATTGTGCTGAACTATTTGTGACATTAAGGTATGTGTTTGAGATGGCATCACACTTGTGCCCTTACATTTGGAGTTTCTTGATATGGCAGAACAACCTTGAGATTGAAAACAAGGGTAAAAGGGGCACCTATTACCTTGTTTAAAATTTCCGATGTTTTCCTGCTGTATTGTCTTTGTCATTATATCTTTACAATCACAGAAAAGTGTGTTGCATTAATGTTTTACCTATTGCCTGTGTAATGTCTGGTTGTAGGCCATCAAGTTTTCTCTAGATTTTGTGCTTTAAACCAATACGGCTCATTCATATTATTGAGTAAAATATTTATCCTGCAGATTGACGGGATGGGCGAAAACCCCGTAAAAAAACTTTTTGAGGAAAAAAACACGGGGAAATTCCCAATCCGGCTCCACAAGTGGCAACCAAGTTTATAACTCCGTAGATCGGCGTGTTTTGAACTTATTTATTAATTGCTTCAATTGTTCTGACTCATGGCTTTATTAAGTTCTGGTTCTGATAATATCCTAGTGCTAAATTGTAATCTTTGCGCCACTAACTACCAACCTTTCTCGTAACATTCCTTTATTTCCAATATTTTGGAACGTTCATCTCTAGTTAAGTTGAGCTTTAAGCTTTAAATATGTAGACGATCTGACACTTGCAGAGGTCCGTCATGCTAATAAATCTAGCCAGATTGGATTTGATCTTGAAGGCCTGGATGCGTGGACGAAGGACAGCCACCTCAGGCTCAATCCTACCAAATGCAAAGTTATGCAAGTTTGCTTCAAAAAAGACCCTCCAACACCACCTTGTCTTAAAATTGGTGGGATTGAGCTTGGGGTGGTGTCCGAGACTAGGCTTTTGGGCCTGATAGTCCAATCTAATCTTGGCTGGCAATCTCAGGTTATGATATGGTCTCAAAAAGTAGTCGTAGGTTATACGTGCTTGGCCGCCTGAAAGAGTTTGGTTTGCCTATCGACGACTTGGTCTCTGTGTATACTTGTTATGTCCGTCCAATTTGTGAGCATGCAGCCCCAGTTTGGCATGGTAACATCAGAAATAATCAGACATATCAACTTGAACGCATTCAAAAGCGTGCGTGTCGTATTATTCTTGGAGCTGACTATGAGTCATACTCAATCGCTTGTGATCGGTTAGGCCTTCAAACTCTGGAGGACAGAAAGACTCCATCTCTGTTCCCCATTTGCTAGTAAATGTACAAAATCAGTTAGATATGCAGAATGTTTTCCTCCTAACAATAGCACCCACAAAATGACTCTGAGACAATCCAACATTTACCAGATTCCACATCACAAAACAAATAGGTATGGCAATAGTGCAATTCCCTCTCTGACAAAACTCCTGAACCAGAATTCCTTAGCAGCAATAATAACAATAATAATGTTATGTCCCCTTTTGTGTGTTTTTAGATTTATATTTAAACTGTAGATACATGAAGTTCTGTAATTCTTATTCATTTTAAATTCAAATTTTTCTTGTTGAATTTTCTTGTTGAATTTTCTAGTGGTTTTTTATTTTCTTGTAATAACCATGCAATTCAGCGTCCGGCTGCAAATTGGTCTAATAAAATATGAATATGAATATGAATATTTAGCCTTCCAATAACCTGTTGACCTTCTTCAATTTAAAGGTCGCTTTTCAAACAGTTGCCTTATATTCCCTTATCTATCACGAACTTTTAGTAATCTTGCTAACGCTGGCGTTGCTTCCAGAATATCATTTTCTTTTTTTCAAAAAATTGAGACCTTATCTTTACTGTGGTACCTGTTGTTTACAACTCTTTTTGCAATATTCCTTGATTACCATGCTCTATAATCTTGACTTTATTTTTTGATTTTTATATTTATTTATTATTATTATTTTTTTTTTTTACTTTTTTTCGAACTATTTCTAAATTCACCAATATTTATTTCCGGTTATTTTGTTCTTTTCATTCTTTCTTGGCCTTTTAAGGGCAACATGTCATGTCGTATATTCGGGATTACTTTCCCATAATCTCTTACCATCATTAAAGTTACTTTGATGGTTATTTAATAACATTACCTGACTTTCATTGATACAATGACTTAATTTCCGTAATACTATTTTTTCTAACATTACCTGAACAGGATTAGTAAAATTGACTTGGTTATACTCTGACTTACTATCTGTAATCAATTTGTCAAGAACTTTCAATTTTTGCTTGAATCATTTATGTTGTACAGGATGAATTATGTTTGTTAGCTAAACTTGATCCAGCCACCTTTTACCCATGTAAAACTAACCGGGGTTTGATGTACTGGTTTGTTTTGTGGACCTTGATTAATTGCCTACTATAAGTCCGTGTGAAAGCACTGCGTAAGTTATTTCAAATTAAGCCTTAGTATAGGTGCACCCAGTGCACTTGCTCAGTGTTTCCGGTGGTTTTGGTAATTAATACAATAGTTGTTATGAATTGTGTTAGCTTACTCTACTAAAGGAGGCGTCTTTCTACTATTTGGCCTTTCAACTTTGAGTTTTTCGATAACAACTCGTGTCGCGGGTGTCAAGTGCTGAGTCTACGTTTCAGACACCGTATCTTCTGAATATTATATGTATTTGTATACTAACTGCAACCCTTGGCATACCTTTCCAACGGCTAAGTTTATTTTATCCGTGTTGTAGGTTGTCTTGGGTGAGAGAAGCCAGCCTTTCCCCCTTCTGCACCCTGTTTTGTTCAGTCTTTCGTGTGTCAATTAGCTGAAACGGATTATCCCGTTCTTGCTGAATGATTCTACGTGCGTTTTGGCTATCCAATCTTTCACCCGTGCTTACAATATCAAGATTAACCTTGCAATCAAGGGTCATTACCTGATAGAGTAGGGAATTGGTTAAGCCCCTCGATACCCACATACCCACTGTACAATGTTCTTGTGCAACTACAAGTCGGCCATGCATGAATATCTTGTGAAAATTTGAATATGTCAAGCAGAAAATGGCTGCTGTCTTGTTGCTGGCACATACTTAAGCTTCACATGTCTCCCTTTACATCTTGGTTGTACAGGCTTCAGTGCTTTTTCCGTTTACTTACAGGGCGTCCTGAAAAAAATGGTGCATGTAAACCCCTCCATTTTTGCTAATTTACAACCAGGGGCGGCGGAACCGGGGGGGGGGGGGCTGGGCTGGGGGTACGTTTGCCCCCCCCCAGATTTTCCCAAGTGCCCCTTTTAAGGCCATAAATGTGCCCCCTCGATCATTAAAGTGTCCCCTCGAGATAAATAAAAAATGCCCTTAAAGTATCTTACTATTTCTTAGAAGTAACCTTTTCCAAATAATGTTAGAGAATTTTTTGATATAAACGAGGAATATGAAAACCAAGTCCTATAATCCATACAAGACGCCCTGAAAATTGGCACATAATGTATGTTTAGCATATAATCATTGGTTTTGAAGAGCGCCCCCTATGTTGAAAGATGGTACCAGCCCCCCCCCCCCCCCCCCCCCCCCCCCCATTTCAGCACGGGTTTGCAAGTGCCCCTTTTGGGTGCTCCCCCTCCCCCGTTTCAAACCCGTTCCGCCGCCGCTGTTTACAACAAACATTTTCTACAGATGTTTACACCATCGTCAAGATAATAGATTTAGCTTGAGAAGATCGTTTGTTTCATTGAGATAGCTTTTGAAAATCCAAAGATATGTTTGAATAACGGCAAAGCCAAGAAGCTACTTTCTGTGAAGCAGTTAAAATCAGTATAGTCCCAATCTAAAACCAAATCATTTTACTGTTAGTGAGTTTAACATTTTTAAGCAGAGTGTGCAATATTTATTTATATTTAATTGAACTCTTTCATTGAAGTTTTAAAAAGTGAACCTGTCTGTACTATTAAATCGTTTCAACATAAGAACAAAACCCTATATTGTCGTGTGAATGGAATGTTTGTCTTACACCCATAGGGATAATCTTATAAAAAGAGCCATGCTGGCATTGTCTGACCTTTGAAGCACTCGCTTCCTAAAAGTGGCAGAGAATGGTGTTTTGGGCTTTGCGGTTATTCAAACATTTCTCTGGATTTTCAAAAGCAATCTTAATTAAGCAAACGGTTTTCTCAAGCTAAATCTGTAACCTTGAAGATCGTGTGCTTACACGATCGTGTGCTTACACGATTTGCAGTAAATTCCGGTTGTAAATTGGCGAAAATGGCGGGGTTTACATGCGCCATCATTTTCAGGACACCCTGTATGATTTGCATTTTCATGATTATGTAACCACGTACTAAATGGGATTCAGCTTTCTGCTTTGTTCCCTGTGATTCTTTTTTAAGTGCCATGTACAGCTCACAACTCCCGTGCGGATGTGATGCACTATAAATAGAATGACCAGTCATCCATACATTTCATTAAGAGTTATTTAATTTATTTACAAATGTGTAAAAGACACCACCCAATTATAAATGATTTCCAAAGAAGTATAAAAAGGTGTGGTTTTGGGTGTATTAAATAAACATGAACAACACTCATATTTCTTATTTTTTTTCGCTGTATAGGTTCGTAACAAAGATCTTGAATTTGCAACGGAGGAGCTTTTTCGCTACTTCGGTGTTGAAAGCCACGAAAAAGGTATTGTGGCACAATTGATGTGGGCAACCGCGCTAAAACATCGTTTTATTTTGGTGCCTTGGAACCGAATATGAAAAAATCATGATTGTCTCTCGAAACATAGAAAATATAATTATTGCCACAAAAAATTTGCTTATACGAAGTATAATACATGTATTGGGTTTATTTGCAAAACTATTGAAGGTTGTCGCAAACTTTTGCGTCGTTTGCAAAACTATTTCGTTTCAGCATCACCATTTAGGGCCCCAACCCCCTTGCCCCCGCTCAATGTTGTCTCTCATTGCGCGGCGTGTGCTCCAATAGCTGGAGAGAACAACATTGACCGGGGAGCGGGGGAAAGGCCAAGGAAGTGTCCCAACCACTTTGGCGGGATTGTAGCTATTAAACTAAGTATTCCACAACGCATGACCACAATGCATTTCTTTGTGCACGCTCATTACATGTTGCAATAAGTTTGAAAGGGGTATTGTTGAGAGAAGTCACCTAAGAAGGTCATAGCACTGAAGAAGATAACAATTAAATTTCCTTTCTTTGTAGCCCCGGAATATGAGATTGTGTACCCACTCGTAGTCGAAGCTGAAGGCAAGAGGAGTGTTGGCAAGGGAGCCACTGCCGCCTCATTCTTAGAACTGGAAGTCGAAGCCTTTGGAGAGACGCTTAACCTCATCGTAGACCACGACGACAGTAATTATGCCCCTGGACTCAAGGTTGAGATCTACACAGATGAAGGCATCCAGAAAGTGCCACTTCGGACTGACTGCGTCTACACAGGGAAGGTAGCCGGTGAAAAGGACTCTCTTGCATCCGTAACCGTTTGTGACGGCTTGGTAAGTCATAGGCCTAGTGCTTCGGTGAATCCCATAGCTGCCACCAAAATGTTTGAAGAAGGGTATATAGTATCATTGATTGGAATAAGTTATGATATTTCCCAAATAAATAATGAAAGGAATTATTTCAAAAGTAAACCTTGTCTGGAGCCGACACCAAAGGTCTGTTTGCATGCCTTTTATTCGGTTGTTTTATTTTCTGAATGGTGTCTTTTTTGCAAGATGGCGGTCATATTTCGCAACCATGGCCGTGGTGAGCTTTACATCGAGCCACTAGATGACGAGGATGCCGTCAAGCGAGATGTTGGTCGCGGTCACCCGCACGTTGCCTATAGGAACAGACCAGTGGAAAGAGGGGCATTCTGCGAGACAGAACGTAATATAATTTATTTGATTTTGTTTTTATTGATCACACTTTTAAAACAAATTCCGCATGTAAGTCAAAACAATAAAGAACTCACATTTCTGACGCAGATCATTCATTCTGAAGCTGAAAACTGGAATGCTCAACTAAAGTTGTAATGACTCGAGTCAATGACTCGACTCGAGTCCGACTCGAGTCACATTTTTTTGGCGACTCGACTCGACTCGAGTCCCGACGGGTAAATGACTCGACTCGACTCGAGTCACGGGAGCAAATGACTCGACTCGACTCGAGTCCCTCATCACAATGACTTAACTCGACTCGAGGAAGGCTAATACGACTCGAGTCCCAAAATAAAAGCAAACCTTATTTGCGAAAAATATTTGCAATGACTTACGCCGCGCCGTTCGCGTTGCCAGTTTTTGTTCACGTCACATTATGTTCGCGAATAATGTACGCTCATATACAGCGGCCGTCTGTTTTCCTTCCTCCATAGTGATACAACAAACATACACCGTGTCGCGGACTCCCACCTTGTGGTTCTATACCTGTAGCATGTAATGCTAAACCCGAAACCAGACTTAAAACGCATTTCTCAATCCGTGGTTTTATCATTGGTTTCGGGCGATTTCTTATTAAGCTCTTGGTGGAACGCTGGCTAAATTTATTTCCCGATTTCACAAAACAAAATGGATACGGACGGGCCAACCTTTAAATAATCAGAAACAGTTTTGTATAATGCAATTTGTTGGTTTTGACGTTGTCAGGGATCAGCGAACAACAAAATCTAGACCCGAAGCCAAACCAGTTATAAGACCGAGGTTTCACATCTTCTTATCTGTGACGTGAGCTAGCAACTGTTGGTTGGGTACCATATAGCATACTTTATGTCTTTGGATTTTCGTAATAGACTGGTGCCTTGTATTCTTTCTCTCTTGTGTTTGTTGCTTTTTATTGTAATTTATAATATAGTGTTAAAATATTTGTGACTCGAATTGACTCGAGCTAAAACTTGACTCGACTCGACTCGACCACACACTGTGACTCGACTCGACTCGACTCGTTGATCTAATGACTCTACTCGACTTGAGTCACTTCTTTAAAATGACTCGACTCGACTCGAGTCACAAAAATCAGTGACTCGTTACAACTCTGCTCGTCAGTTTCTTATGACAGCTTGTCAAATTCCAAGCTTGATGCCCGACTGGTTTGTTTTGCAATTGTTCTCCTAAGCGCCACCAACTTTGCCGTTAACATTTGCTGACGAGCCGCCAGAAGCCTTGCCGATTGACACGAAGGCAACGAAATATCTGGAGCTGGCATTCATTTCCGATCCAGACTTAAATGTTCGCAAAGGGGGCACCAGCGCAACCACCACGTGCCTTAACGCCCTCTTCAACGCGGTGAGTTTTCGTATGACAGTATATCAATGACAGAAACCTTGCTCAAAGCGAACATCAGATTGTTTGTTACCACTGAGAAGAATGTAGTAACCAACGCATAGCGTATCACCGACCGATAATGTCTCACACAAATTGACCGATGCTATAGCACTATAACCGATAATGTAAAAAACATTGACCGATGGTGTAGTAAATGTTGCCACACCATGGGTCAATTTATGTTACATTATCGGTTGGTGATACGTTATCCGTTGGTTACTACATTATCCAGCGTAACACCGTTATCAAACACCCTGCGAAATGATTCGGAAGAAAACTAAACCTGACGGATGTTTTGAAAGGGTGCCCGCGGGCAACTTTAAACGTGCGTGAGCGACGGATACCAGTTACCAGACATGTTTTGTTCCTGCATTCATATAAAGCAAAACTTTCAGCAGGATGCACCCTACCTAAACTTTGAAGCTATTGCTTCAAACGAAAACAAGTGCACAAAAGCAGTAAACCCTATACGTGCCTTTAAAACACTTTCCATTAATCAATGTGTACCTAGTGTGTCACTAAAGCATCAAATAATGTTGAAAAGCGGGAACTGTTGTGAAGAAAAAAGGTAGGCCTAAATAAAAAGGTCGGTTGGAAATAAGGGAAAATTGGCCTACATGTGCTTGAGCTTATACTAGTCTTTCATACCACATTGCGATACAGATAGTGGCCTTTGTTGAGTTATTTTCCTGCGCCCATTGGCGGCGTTTAATTGGCGTCATTATCTAATCAAAATGAATTTGAAGGCCAGATGCAGTCAGTTGACCAAAAAGGTGTTGCTCGACCACTCCCCCATTATCTTTTTGCTATTATTATTTTGTCGTCACCATTTTCGCCTTATTTTGGTACCTTTTGAGAAGGCTCTTCACATTGTGCGCCTACCATTGTTGGTGATGAAGGACGCATATTTACAAGTATTCTCTTAGCGATTTTTCCTCTTTGCTTTCTCATTCTTATTTATAATTAAGGTGAAAAATGTTTTGCGATTGAGTTCTCTGAGAGGAACTGCGCTGGTTCCCAGGCTGACGTACGTCAAGGTCTTTGGAGTACATGAGGTAGGTTTATGACGAATAAGCCTATACAAGTCATGTAGTTATCTCACAGCTTCACATGGAAGCGAGTCATGGAACAAATTAAAGTTGAAGTTCATATTGAAGAAGTTTATCTCTAATGAAGAATGGATTCGCTGAAGCCCATATGAAGTATTATTTTAATATTGCATCAAGTCTAACGTGTCCAGGCTACATTTATCCTTGGACTGAAACTGTGTTTCTTTGTATTGATATATGTTTGAACTTAACGAAAACAATAACGCAAGTTTTGCAAGGTAAAGTATAGTGTCTGCAACAAGTTTTTTATTTGGACTGTGGCTCACGTTTTAAACATATTCGTTTCTTGCCAATAATTAAAATATGCCCTAAAGAAAATGATAAAGACAAATGAAAGACAAGAGGTCAAGGCGTTTGTTGAGTTACAAACGCAGCGTGGTCGGGCCGACAACTATTTCATTAGACACAGCCCAGTTAAGGTATTGTCAAAACAAAGACCACGAAAATTTAACCTATCCAGTGCAACCAATGGTTTTGTTTAAAACAAAATGTTTTAAAACAATTTTTTTTTAAATATTTTTTTAATATGACGTCACATATCACGTGATGACGTCATCGTGACGTCACTTAAATTTTCATCCATAACACATCCCGGTTTAGGTGCATACCAAGTTTCAACACAATCAGACCTGTAGTTCTGTAGATATTGGCCTTCAAAATATTCAATTTTTAATATGACTCTCATGTCACGTGATGAAGTCATCGTGACGTCACTTAAATTTTTATCTGTAACACATCCCAGTCTCAGTACATATCAACGTTCATTCCAAACGGACATGCAGTTCTGGAGATATAGCCCAATCTGTGAGATCTAGCCGAATTCTGCTAGAAAATAGTCACAAAAGAAAAATCGCATATAATGTGACGTCACGTGACTCATGATGACGTCACGATGATGTCAATGTTCGGTACACAACTTCAGCTGCTGGTCTAAAGTGTATGCCAAGTATAAAGTCAATCGAATTGATTTCAGTGCCCAAAGTGAGGGTAACAAAAAACGTGTACAAATGATATGGGCAAACATAGGGCTTTTCCGCTTATTGAGTGGTCAGGCACAACCCGACCACTGTCTAGAATTGTTCTCACAAATCTTCTTTGTTGAGTGGTCGGGCACAACCCGACCACTCTTTGGATTTGTTGCGATTAATTGAGTGGTCGGGCACAACCCGACCACTCTTTGGATCTGTTACGATTAATTGAGTGGTCGGGCACAACCCGACCACTCTTTGGATCTGTTACGATTAATCTTTCTTTCTTTCTTTCTTTCTTTCTTTCTTTCTTTTTTTTTCCGGACAATACTTCTCCGCGGGTTTTCTCTTAAACGGTATATGGTATGAACTTGTAACTTTCAATATATATCGACCCTCATCCGAAGTGGTGCATATTACTCTGACGTCATGATTACGTCATCGGGTGTCAAATTACAAGTGATTTTATCTGAAAAAGTTACCAATTACTTTCACCTATAACTCTTGAACTAAACAATCAATGATGTTTGTGTTCTGTAATCAGATAGACCATTAATCGCTTAACAGTTTTTGTAGTGTACGTGAACTCGCTTGACCTTTACTTCCGGGTCTACCGGAAGGTCAAAGTTAGGTGAATTCAAAATGAAGACGTTAGCCTGACATCAAAACAAAGCAGCATTTCTTCCGAACGGTTCACGGTATGATCACAAAACCTTGTGTGAACTTGTACCATGTTACGAAGATGTTGTACATTTTGTTACGTCATCATGACGTAATCAGGTATCAAATTACAAGCGATTTAAGAGCAAACTTTGACAAAATAGTTTGTGTTATATCTTTTGAACTAAATAGAGTATCGTGTTCGTTTTTTCGTGAGGTTGTAGACTATGCCGTGAGAAACATTTCATGTTCCCGAACGCAAAACCGCTTGACCTTTACTTCCGGTGTTACCGGAAGTGCAATAAAAACTGAATATAACTCAAAAGCGGAAGCATTTCACTACAGACATATATATTATGAAAGTGTATAGTGAGGAATGCAAGACGCAAAAAACAGTGTGATGACGTCATCATCCGAAAGGGCGCCCCCTATCGGCACATAAAATATAGTTTCCCTTCTGTAATTGTAAAACCATCCGTCCAAATTTTACCAAATCGCCCCTTGACATTCTCTGATTTATCACAGATAAGGTGGCAAGGTTTCAAATTTATGACGTCACCAGACCGGAATTTACTTTAAGGAGAATTCGAAAATGATCAAAGTTTAAATTTATTTCTATCATTTGATCCCTGTCATATCTTCGAAGTCCAAATAATGATATCCATTACAATGTTCACCTTTGGATCTCTAATGCTGTGACGTCATCAAACAGGAAGTTAGGTGTTATAAATACGTCGTCAAACCGGAAGTTATGTGATATTAATACAAACAATTATATTTCCCATATTTTCATACGTTATTTAATTTTAAAATGACAAATTATCCTCTCCGAACTTTATCAGTATTCACTAACCATTTTTGACTGATGACGTCATCAAACTAGAAATAACTTTTTGTGCACATGGAATGTTTACTGAAGTTTATCACACCGTTAAAGATACCTTTTTGAAACATTGATTGTACTTAAAGGGATTTAATTTCGTGATCCTTTTTTCTACATATATTCCTAACTTAGCTGGGCAGTGTATAATGAGAAGGCTGTCCGCCCGACCACTCTGCGTTTGTAACTCAACAAACGCGAAACTCTAGTCTTTCTTTCTTTCTTTCTTTCTTTCTTTCTTTTTTTTCCGGACAATACTTCTCCGCGGGTTTTCTCTTAAACGGTATATGGTATGAACTTGTAACTTTCAATATATATCGACCCTCATCCGAAGTGGTGCATATTACTCTGACGTCATGATTACGTCATCAGGTGTCAAATTACAAGTGATTTTATCTGAAAAAGTGACCAATTACTTTCACCTATAACTCTTGAACTAAACATTCAATGATGTTGTATTCTGTAATCAGATAGACCATTAAACGCTTAACAGTTTTTGTCGTGTACGTGAACTCGCTTGACCTTTACTTCCGGGTCTACCGGAAGGTCAAAGTTAGGTGATTTCAAAATGAAGACGTCAGCCTGACATCAAAACAAAGCAACATTTTTTCCGAACGGTTCACGGTATGATCACAAAACCTTGTGTGAACTTGTACCATGTTACGAAGATGTTATAAATATTGTTACGTCATCATGACGTCATCGGGTATCAAATTACAAGTGATTTAAGGGCAAATTTGGACAAAATAGTTTGCGTTATATCTTTTGAACTAAATAGAGTATCGTGTTCGTTTTTCCGTGAGGCTGTAGACTATGCCGTGAGAAACATTTCATGTTACTGGATGCAAAACCGCTTGACCTTTACTTCCGGTGTTACCGGAAGTGCAATAAAAACTGAATATAACTCAAAAGTGGAAGCATTTTACTACAGACACATATATTATGTAAGTGTTTAGTGAGGAATGCAAGACGCAAAAAAACAGTGTGATGACGTCAACATCCGAAAGGGCGCCCCCTATCGGCACATATAATAGAGTTTCCCTTCTTTAATTTTAAAACCATCCGTCCAAATTTTACCAAATCACCCCTTGATATTCTCTGATTAACCACAGATAACTTGGCAAGGTTTCAAATACATGACATCATCAAACCGGAAGTTACTTTAAGGAGAATTTGAAAAGGATCATAGTTTTAATTGAATTCTATCATTTGATCCCGAAGTCCAAATAATGATATCCATTACAATGTTCACCTTTGGATCTCTAATGCTGGGACGTCATCAAACCGGAAGTTAGGTGTTATTAATACGTCATCAAACCGGAAGTTAGGTATTATTAATACAAACAATTATATTTCCCATATTTTCATACGTTATTTTAACTTTACAATGAAAAATGATCCTCTCCGAACTTTATCAGTATTCACTAACCGTTTTTGACTGATGACGTAATCAAACCAGAAATAACTTTTTTTTGTGCACATAGAATGTTTACTGAATTTATCACACCGTTAAAGATATCTTTTTGAAACATTGATTGTACTTGAAGGGATTTAATTTCGTGATCCTTCTTTCGTGATCCTTTTTTAACTGGGCAGTGTATAATGAAAAGGCTGTCCGCCCGACCACTCTGCGTTTGTAACTCAACAAACGCGAAACTCTAGTCTTTCTTTCTTTCTTTCTTTTTTTTTTTTGTCCGGACAATACTTCTCCGCGGGTTTTCTCTTAAACGGTATATGGTATGAACTTGTAACTTTCAATATATATCGACCCTCATCCGAAGTGGTGCATATTACTCTGACGTCATGATTACGTCATCAGGTGTCAAACTACAAGTGATTATATCTGAAAAAGTGACCAATTACTTTCACCCATAACTCTTGAACTAAACAATCAATGATGTTTGTATTCTGTAATCAGATAGACCATTAATCGCTTAACATTTTTTGTTGTGTACGTGAACTCGCTTGACCTTTAATTCCGGGTCTACCGGAAGGTCAAAGTTAGGTGAATTCAAAATGAAGACGTTAGCCGGACATCAAAACAAAGCAACATTTCTTCCAAACGGTTCACGGCATGATCACAAAACCTTGTGTGAACTTGTACCATGTTACGAAGATGTTATAAATTTTGTTACGTCATCATGACGTCATCAGATATCAAATTACAAGCGATTTAAGGGCAAATTTTGACAAAAAAGTTTGCGTTATATCTTTTGAACTAAATAGAGTATCATGTTCGTTTTTTCGTGAGGTTGTAGACTATGCCGTGAGAAACATTTATTGTTCCCGGACACAAAACCGCTTGACCTTTACTTCCGGTGTTACCGGAAGTGCAATAAAAACTGAATATAACTCAAAAGCGGAAACATTTTACCACAGACATATATATTATGCAAGTGTTTAGTGAGAAATGCAAGTCATAAAAAAACAGTGTGATG